CTGTCAATTTACTTACTCCTATAATTAATGGTATTCTGCTCTCTGTTTCAGTTGTGTGCATAGAGGATACTAATAGAAAGACTATGGCAACAAGAAAAGCTGTAAAAGAATTAAGAGAAAGAAGAAGTTCTGTAGAACAACCAGCAGAGGAAAAGATAGTGGCTTTAAGTTTACTTAAACCTATGTTTGATGAATTAGGGGCTACATTTATAGCCCTGGAAAAAAAGATGGATGAAAAAATTGATAAGATGCATGTTTTTGTGAAACAATTAGCTGGAGAAGTGAATTCACGCTATGCAGCAATAAGACATGTTCCAAGAGATATACGAGTACATTTTGCAAGGAGAAAAACCAAGGACCAGGTCTTGCAAATGCATTTCAAAACCAGACTGAAGATGGATAATGTAGATATAATTATACTAATAGAAGTTCCTGTTAGAATTTTACGTAAGAGGAAGAATTACTTCTTTTTAATGGAGATACTGAAACAGAAGAAGATTATGTTTGGCTGGGACAAACTAGAGGGAGTGATTTTTACCTCCCAACAGAAAAGATTTTGTTTGAATTTAGTTCAAAAAGCTAAATACTTTTTGGCAAAATTTAAAGGAGATTTGGATGAGATGCAAATGGAGGAAGATTAGCACACAGCTTTGAAGACTAAACAGGTTAGGGAAGAAGAGGATAGTGAGGAATCCTCTTATCTAGTGAGGATAGTTGGGTGCCACAGGCATAGACTTTTCTAAATTATTGGCCTAAATATGGATTACAAATGGTTAACGTGAAATATTAATGGAGCTAATGCTCCGCAAAAGAGAAAAAAAGTATTTCATTATTTTAAGAAATTGAAAAAAGATGTAACTTGCTTACAAGAGATTCACATTAGAAAAAAGGATATAAAATATTTGACTTGCAAGAAATAGGGTCAAGAATTTATCTCAGCAAGTGCAATGTATAGATTTTTATTGAAATTCGAGACAGAAGATGAACAAGTTAAAGAGTGTATGATAAAATGGGCTAAAAATTTTGGCTATAATATACAGTTGGAACAATGGGGAAATATGTGGCAGAAAGGACTAAATTAAATTAAACACTGTATTATAATTTAAAAGAAAATTTTTACAAAATGATGTATCACTGGTATATGTCACCAGAAAAATTATCTAAAATGTATAAAGGTATGTAAAATATATGTTGGAAATGTGAACAACATGAAGGAACATTTTACCATCTTTGGTGTACTTGTAAAAATGCTAAAAAATTCTGGACTGATATTCATATTTGTATGCAGAAGATTTTAAAGATCGATATACAGTCAAAACCAGAGACTTTCCTTTTAGGTTTGGACAGACAGTTGGAAAAAACTCATGGAATTTTATTTTTATATATGATAACAGCAGCAAGGCTCCTACATGCACAGAGGTGGAAAGACAAGATATTACCTATGGTGGAAGAATGGTTGGTGAAGTTGATGAAGTTAGCAGAGAAGGCAAAATTGATGGTGTTGATTTGTGATAAAACATTGTGTAATTTTAATACTACCTGGCAAACGTTTTTGAACTTTTTGCAAGTTGCTGAAAAAAATAAAGTCCTGTGTATGGTTTTGATGATTAGAAATAATATGGATTAATAGAAATAATGGAATTTGTTTGTTAAACTTAGAGTAAGAGTTGGATGTATATTGTTACTTATATCTGTTGTGAGAAGTGTCAGGTCAATTCTTTGTTTTCTTTTGTTCTCTCTTTTTCTCTTCTGCATCTTTAATCTTTACTATGTTCTCTCTTTTCAACTTTCCTTTTCTTCTCCCCCCCCCCAATATTAGCTCTTGTTAGTTTTTATTGTTTTTTCTTAAAATTTAATAAAGATATTATAAAAAAAAAAGGTATAATTACTCAGGAGCTGAGAACAACAGAAGAGCAACTGAGATGAACAGAAAAGAGCAGGTGCAAAGACCATGGAGTTTCAGAAGCCCACTTCTGAATTACTCCTGAATAGCCCCAGAAGGTTTCAGTCCCTTTGGTGCTCATCAAAGGCAACATCTTCCTTCTCTACACCAAGGGCAGATGTCACCAGGCAACCTCCTCTTTCAGGCCTTTGAAAGCAGGCAAGCCAGGAGATGTGCAAATACTTGCTCCAGTCTCCAAATATTTGTTTGTCCTCCAGGATGAATGGGTCATATAGGAAGTGGGCAAAAGGACCATGCATAGGCTCTTCATGCTCCCCCACTTCTCCTTGAGTGGCAACAGGGAGAAATTATAAGAAATAACCATGCTACTCTTGATAGCATCTTGCCCTCACCCTCAGGAGGTTGTACCTCCCAACTTTCCTTTGTATTGGACAGTGCAGCTGGAAACATTGGGCCCAGTAGGCTTGCTCTGAGTCAGTGAGAAAGCAAAAGCTGCTTCCTCGGGCCTCTTTGTTTCTGAGGGCTTTTTGTACCATCTCACACTATTGGATACCTGGAGGGAGGAAGCAAATAAACCACCTCTCAAGTCTACCCATTTGCACATTTACACCCTTTCTCTGTGAGTCATAGTAATGTGAATGAGGCCCAGGGTGCCACACGGTCCCAATAAGACTTCTGTTGCACAACAGACTAACTCACTAGTCACATAACCTTGGCTTATTGAATAACTCAGTTGTGTGGGTTTGCACAACACACTGAACCAGAAATTAGCCAACCATACTTTAGTTTTAGCATATTGTGTAATCCCAGCTAAAGGGACACTAAAGTCAATGGCATTTAGCCTGAGATTTTCAGTCAGTTCCCAACTGAACAACAGCACTTTAATGCTATCATGTGGAAGAGCAAAGAGAACTTCTGGCTTGTAGGCAGAGCTGGCTCACTGTGTCTTTCCACTTGTGCTTCTTAACTGAGTTTTAATCCTCTGCCACAGTGCAATTCTGATGAGGTGTGTATGACTGGCATAGGGAAAAGGAAGTGTGAGAAGGTCCCCCTCACTTAACCTTTGGCCCCAATGCACTTTCCATCATCTTCTCCTTGAGCCAGAAGGGAATCCCACCACTGTTCTTGTGAAGCCCTCATTGCTCCTGAAGTGAATAGCATGTATGACCCACTAGTCCAGACTGTTTTTTTCACCCTTGGTGCCTCTCATTGATGTGGTGGGAAGAATTTGGCTGGCTGTGGGGACCTGGGGGTGGGAGGATGATGAGAACAATGGAGGCAGAGGGCCCAAGACACATACGGTATAGCCAAGCGCTGGAAGAAACAGCTCATCAGCTACCAGCCGTGTACCCAAAAAAGAGCAAAGACTGGGCGCTACCGGGTAGAAGGCGCTGGAGCCGCGAGGCTCAGCGTCTTCGTCTCGCCCATTAAGCGAGGCCTGCCGAGCGAGCGACAGCCACTGAGCCCAGCCGAGCGGTCTTCGGAAACGACGGCGGCGGCGGCGGCGGCGGCGGCGGCGGCTCCTCCTCCCCTCCTCCTGCAGAGCCTAGCGGCGGCGTGGCTTTCAATGCGCAGGCACTGGTCGCGCCAGGCTCCAGGGGTGTAAATAGTACGTGGCCTCTGAGGCTGGAGCAGCTCAGAGTAGAGATGGCAACCGAGCGAGAGATGTGCAGCTAACCCGGCTGCATTTGCTCGCCCGGTAAGGAAGGCGGAGGAAGAAGAAGCGGATCAGGTAACCAGTCGCTTTGTACATTGCAGTCCGGTCACAACCGCCGATTTACGATTTGTTTTGCGTCGTGTCATTTTCTGATCTGAGCCTCTGAAACAAACCCGGCTACAGTACACGAAGAGCAGAGCGGGGAGAGGGAGGAATAATGTTAGCTGTGCAAAGTGTGGGTTCGAGTTTGTACCAACAACTCCATCCTTGCAGACTCGCAAAAAGTAGCGAGGGAAAGAGAGAACATGCAGAAGGACAGAGCAGTAATAACGAATGCATAGCATATTTAGAGGAAGATAGTTGTCTGCAGCCGGGGTGGGATTTTGGGGTTCGAGAGCACTGTGCTCTCTTTGTTTCAGTGGTACTTTACCTACCAGACTGGCGTCCTGGTTTTTAAGAACGTAATCAGGTCGAGCGGGGCGAGGTAGAGTCCTTTCAGAACGGTTAGAAATGGAAACAGAGGGTTCAGAGGGCGAACCGTCCCTATAGAGAGTCGAAGAGCCAGACTCTTCAAAGGTTTTATTGGAAAAAAATACCAGAGGGAGAAAACGAAGTTTGCCGTTGCAGAATAAATGGGGGCCTATCACACTGATTTATTTGCATGGCTCTTTGCTGGCCTTTAGTACCTTGGAGAGCTCCCGTTTGGGAGCAACGGGACAGAGTGAAGGACATGGCGGGAGAAGAATTCTCCTCTCCCAGACTGAAGACAGCAAAAGCCATCAGATGTCGATTTCTTTCCCCATTCCTTCTTTTCTTCCTTACAGGAGAGCAATATTTCATTTATTATCACCTTCCATGTCTTCTAAAATTGTAGGATGACTTCCCCACCTTGAGTTCAGTGGAGGAGTCTTAGAAGGAGAACATATTCTGCCATTTTTTAAGACTGTCCGTCAAATATCTGATCATACAGACAAAAACAACCAATATTAAATCACATTTTTAAAATGGCTTCTGCATAGAATGTATTGGCTATCATTTTATGTTTTGTCCAAGTAATAATAATGTACTACAGGTCTATTTTAGACATTATTATTATTCTGTTAGGGTAATGTGATACATAGCAGAATAACTCATGTCATACTGTTGGATAACACAATTTCTCTACCAGGCTTTGTGATCTGTTCACAGGCAATTCAGCATGTGATTCTAAGCTTAAAAATACTCATCCAGTGAATACAGTATGTGATTTATACATCATTGGCTATGAATATAAGAAAGTATTTTCCTGATTAATCTTTTGGGGAAATGTTACAGAACATTTCATTTTTTTCCAGCTATAAAATAATAGCTTTTAGAAGCATTTCCATTGTGATGATGATTGCTCTGTAGAACAGGAAAACATAACTAGCCAGTGGTGGCATGAGTAAAAATATGCCTGTAGCCCCTCCTTATTGGACCTCAAGGCTCATTTTTAAGTACATTTGCATTATTAGTAAGTGTTCTCCCTGCCATATTAGTAAATGTTGCTGAAGTGTAGAGGTGCTTAAACTTGTGGTCATCACTAAGACCGCTTTCTCCTCTTCAATAACAATAAAAGTGTCCTTTGGAAGTCCTTGCCTGTTCTTTCCATGCTGTACACTTTCTCTCCATTGCTAAAAGGAAAAACACAAGATTTTTTTTTAAAAAATGTAATAAAAATATTCCTTTCAGTTCCTCCGACTACAGCATATTAAGTGGTTTCTGTAGGGGGCAGAAATGCAGGACCCATGAGCATAAGGGACATCAGTAGACCATTTGATAAAGACATGAAAAATGTCTAAAGTTGTGATATTATGGCCATGGTTCAACTCACAGAAGCCATTCAGCTTAAGGAATTGGTTTCAGCTTTTCTTAACTTGAAAAACTGAAAATATAACATAAAAGTTCAGTATATTTAATATTGAAATGTTAAATATGATAATTAAGCCAAAGTAATTATTCAAGATCAGCATATATGAAATATTTTTTTTCTCAGAAGATACATTAATCATAATCTGAACACACATACATGTATATAGATTGGTTTTACTTGAAAATAAAAACTAGATGCTTTTAAACATTGACTTGATTGCCAATTATCAATCTCTTCTTACTCTATTCTGTGGAAATAAAACTGGTACTTTAGAAAATAGATGCATGCATATAAGTTCTCATCCCAAACTCACTAAAATAAATATAAATTATATTTTGCTTGTTTGAGTAGAGAATGACATCATTTGCACTGAGATCTGTTTTGCTTATAAAATTTTTCAGTGAATGATTAATTCTTGTTAGTGGTATTTGGACTAAACAACAGAGTTAATGGATTTTTTTCTTAGTATCAAAAATATTATAGATCAGAAAGAGCAGTGTGACTAACATTAGAAAGATCTCTGGTTTATTTGTCCTTGCATTGATTGTGACAAGTTTCATTAGTTTTCCTGTTAATTTATTGTTTAAATTAAGTTGAGATATACTTCTGGTTACTCATGAAAATATCACAGATTGGATTTTGAGGATTCATCTGATTCTTTTTCTTTCTTCAATTCTGCCTGTATATATAGCTGATCTATTCGCAAATCTGATTACAGTTACAATGTACCACTGTAGCATAACACTGAAAAATCATTCAAGACAGCCTTTACCATGGTAACAAAAGATGCTACAGGGTTACCTAGTATGAAACTACATGTTCCAAAAATCTGATTGCATAATTTTGCCATTTCTTCATAATCTTACTGATGCTACAGTTTAACCATAATTATAACTGTTTGTACAAATTAAATTTAAAAATGTTTCCCTTTTGGGAATACAATGCAGGCAAATAATTTGTCATATGTTACAATCCATGTATTGTTTATCAATGAAGACAGGCATCTGTTGATATTTTCTTCTTCCATAGTTATGGCAGGTTATTTTTCTTCTGCTTTGTTGATCAATTTACTTTCTTCCTTCTGCTAAAATTACTAATGCAATTTGTTGCTGGCTGTTCCTATTAGATTTGTTGTTGACTGTTCCAGAGCATAAGACAAATAACTACCTTTATAAAATGATAATTTTAAATGGATTCACTATGAAGAGTAATGTGAATATCTACAAGTTTATAAAACCAATTGAATTGGAGCTCTCTTAAGGAATTCCATTAGCAACTCCTAATGTTTTCAATCCACAGCATAGCATTTTAGAGAAAATTCATATACCATTCCAAATGTAGTCACTCCCTTGCTGTGTTGCATTTCCATTTTCTGTGTTTGGCCTGTCCATATGTGGAACAGGACATTGTGGCCATATCAACCTGCAGCTGAACTTTGGACAGCTCCAAACATTCCCTTCCCAATAGTCTCTTGAGAAGATCGCTTGCACTGCCAACATGATAGCAGAGAGCATTAGGTCCTTGATGTAAAGAGGGAAATGGATCTTCAGAAGAACCTGTCTCTACAAATCCCAGTTTGGCAATCTTTAATTCAAAACATTCTAACAAGTTGTTAGGAATGTTCTAGCATGGATTCAACATCATGGATGTGTAGTCTGAAAGCTAGATACCTGTCTGAACCCTTAGTTTACCTCCAGAGAATCTGAGTGCTCTCACTGAAGCTATTAAAGAGAGATTTTCTCAGTTATGCACTCCACACATGGAATGTTGTCGCAAGATGGTTCATCATCTACCATGTTTTTTTTTTTCATACCAGACAAAAACATATCTTCTCCCATGCATTATATAGCCTATATTTTATAATTTTATAGTGTTGGAATGGCTGCTTTTATTCATTTTCCCTCCAGAGATTATTGCTAGTGGTTATAGTTTTTAATTTTTAGACTTATATAATTTGTTATTAGATGAATTAAAATTAAAATGCATTTACAGTCCACCAATGCAATTAGGCAATAAATGGATTATGGGACATGCTGAGGTGAACTTTGTGTACATGAAATAAAAATTGGACCAATAGATCACATGATGAATTGTATACATTCAACAGCTGGGGATCCATACATATTATGTGACATTCAGCAGTAGATGGGCACTGTTGCTGAGCAAAAACCAAGTGGGAAATGAGTCTCACATCATTTTTAGTAAGCAGGTATTGTCAGAGAATACCTCACTGAATCTGTCATTGTTACGTGAGCCATGAATTGCCTCCTACCCAACAGTTACATTGATGAATGGACTGGATTACACCCCATTAAGGATTGAAGATGTCACCAGTAGTGCATATACACAATGCTATATGAGTTTGACTGCCTCCAAGAAATGTCCACCAGGAAAGTGTGGGACATTGTTCAGTGGCCACGATCATTGACTGTTTTTCAGCCTTGAAATGTTCCCAGAATGATGCATTAGATTGAGAATGTGGGCAATATCATAGAGAGGTGTATTGCTGTCTCACTGGTATCATTGTCTCTTTGGTGGAGGGAAAATAGGAAATGAAAGAATTGCAAGAGGTAGGATGCTACATTAGAAAGACAGTGTGATCTTTTGAATTAACCGCTTTCTCTCCAATTAGAAAGTCTAGAGTCTAAGGAAGTTCCAAATGGCCTGTTGACAGCAAAATTAACCATAGCTGTTCTATCAAGCAGAAGATGGTATAACTGACACAGCTGTGGCAGTGTGCAAACTTTGTCAGATAGAACAGTCCTGTTCCTAAAGTATGCACAAATGGGTTGCATACACATCAAGGATTTAATCAGCCTGTAGATTAAGTTGATTACATTTGTTTCGATTATTAATTTGCATATCACACTTCCTAGAGCAGGCTGCAGTGACCCAAATTGCCAGTAAAAAGGTTTTGGCATATTACTACTGCAAACTAGTGCGAAAATAATCACCTACTCATGGACAAGTGTGATTCTATGATAGCTAAATCAACTTTCAGTGAACTGTAAATATCATTTCCTAAAGGGTAGCCATATTATCTGTTGCAATAAAAACAGGGTCATATGGCAGTACCTTAAATTAAACATCATTGAGATACTATCCACTGCAATAGATAATTGTGAAAATAATAAAGCTTATACCATACGTTAGTCTTTAAGGTGCTGCAAAAGTCTTTATTATTAGCCGTATTAACGTAACATTGTAACTATTAGCAGTGTTTATAGTCCAATTTATTACAGAATTCTCTGTGTCTCACAAGAAATAATTTAATAACTTAAAGTACAATAATAAAACAGACAGTAAACACAGTTGTGGCTAGTGAAACCAGCTAAAAAGTAAAGTAGAGCAACAAGTCTAGGAAAATGTGAAAGGAAAATGTAGTTGTTGGGCGGTTAACTCTCTTGCCCTAAAGTCCTCATTCAGTCCAATCTTTTGTGAAGAGCCAAGTGCTATAAAGACAGAAGGCTTATGGACATCCAAAGGACTCACTGGCTGTAATTCAATTGGGTAGAAGTAAAAATGGGCAAACAATTGTATCTCTCTATCCAAGTTTCTGGTTTGGGTTTCAGCCACTTGATATATTTCAGAATTCTTTGCCAATATAGTAACTGCTTCGTTTGGTACAGCTTTGCTCATGACTATTGCCAGTCAAGAAAAGAAGCCCCAAACACACTCTTCCCTCCAAAACTACAAGGGCTGTCTCCAACATATTATGACTAAGGGTTGAAGATTCCAGTGCAAGAGTGGTACAAGTTGGCATATCCATCAGTCATGTTATACATGGGCCTTCCTTGCACTGATGCCTCTAGCCATCCTCATAATAAATTCACATACAACGTTGGGCCATAAGGTGCCCATTCAAAGGACAGCTCATGATAGAAGAAAGTAACGGCAGAACACCATATCAAATGTTTACCAATATTGTTTAAAAGGCATATGAATAACATTAATGACCAATGATGTGGACGTTTACACTCTCTGGAGGTTCTAAATTCAAGATATTGGAAAAATCTAGTTCCACATTAAAAAAGGAATCAGTCTGTTACACCAGAAAAACAGAAGTTTATACAGAATTGCTCTCCTAAACTAGTCAAAAAAATATAACTCATAGGAGATTGGAAAAATACAGTGTACATTTACTCCAGACATTGATATAATCTGAAGAATTTGAGGATAGTTGTCATAGTGATGAAAATATCAGGATCTGTGCTAGGTTCTGTCATCTGAATGTGATTGCCTTCTGATTTCCATATAATTTAAATATGAAGACTTGTGCTCTTCTCCATCACAGCTAATCTGAGTAGAGCTGGGTGTTCTGCAGCAAGTTATTATAATTGCTAATTGAAAAGGGATGTGACATCTAAACCCACTATAAAAAATAAATTTAGAAACAAGAGTAGTGAGGAGTTAATTTGGTTTAAATCAAAATGTTTCAGGGAGTTCTATAAAAGGAAATCATATCCAATTTTAGATAGCAAGTACAGTGATTCACTTGATTCTGTTGATCTTATTCACACTTTTATATTCCCCCCCCCCCATATAATGCAGCAATAAGACCATTTTCCATGGTTCAGTGCTATACTATATTCACAGCTGCACTGGAACTGCAATAATCTCAGCCATGCTGCTTCTGAGTTCTGCCTGAAATTATATTTTAGTTATTGGTAAGCATGAAGGGTTTTAAAATTTAAGCATCTTACATGTTATATTTATGGACAATAAATGATCTTATGGATTAAGCACTGGTGACACACATATTTCCATGAGAAAAGTCAGCAATCATTTTTATGCAAGTCAGTTTGGTATCTTTGTAAAGAAAGACTATGAATGAGACAGGCATTGTTTCAGTGAATATAGGAACAGATAAAGCTTTCTTATATTGAACTTGACTATGGTCAGTAATGTCTGATTCAGTGTGTTTACTTATCATGCTAAGATATAATATCATTTTGCTTAATGTGTGAACTAAACTATACTGGTCTCTAAGCCGCAGTTTATAGCATGTTATGTTAACCTTGCCAATTGTGCCTTATTTAACAAGCTATATTTAAACAAATTATGGTTAGCACAATATGCAAACCAAACAATGCCTGCCACTGGCTTGTCTAAATGGTACAGCTAATTCAACTGTTGGGATGGCCACAGATTTTTTACATGCAAATCATGTGCTCTGTTTCTACTCTGAGCTCCCACTTATCTGACAAGAAATACTGGACTAAGTATATTGGTGCAACAGATGTTTTATTTTTTTAAAAAAATAAGAGAATTCAGCTGTGGGAAAGCTTGTATGTCAAGGGGCAAATAGACACAATTTGGACCACAGAGAACATATCCAGTGTTATAAATGTTCCATATGAACTGCATACATTTAATTCATGCATTGGCCCCTTCATACATAGCATTAATATGTTCAGATCATTCGTCTTTAGAAAGCTACTTTTTGCATGAGAGCTACTCATGCATTTGCTAAATTCGGTGAAAAATGGCAGGAATACTAAGGCAAGATTTTTGGCAGGGTTAATTTACTTTTTTGGTTCTTAGGTATTTTGCCTCCTTTGTATATACATGGTATCGAGGGCAAGGCAGGTGTCACAGCATGCTGAATTAGTTTGTTGGCAAAGCAATTCATTGAAAAGCTTGGATGAGCTTTCCCACTGAAACATGAGTGATAGTTTGGCTCTAAAATGCCATCCTTGCTATCATACTAGTAGATCTCAGTTAAACGAATTGTTTTCATTTAGTCAGACGCACCTAGAACATATACTGAATGTTTCCATTTTTATTGATTTAAATTAATTACGATACAATACTGTAACCTGCCCTAATCCCAGAGGACTCTGGGTGGTGTAAAGAAATGTAATAAAAAATACGTTAATCATAAAACCTTAATATTAAATGCACAAGATGAATGCCTCTACTCAGAATCATTAGGAGCCCGAATATTAACAAGATTGAGGCTGTGCATATTTCAGAGGAGAGCGCTATCTATGAATTGGGGGCTGCCACAGAGAAGGCCTGCCATCCAACCCATATCCCACAAACCACACAGAGTTGGGGGGGCTTTTAAGAGGTCTTCTCTAAATGATTGATCCAGTCACCTAGAAAATAAGATAATCTGAAAGAACACCTGAGCATGCTTGTGTTATTTTCAAAGCCAGCTATTATAACCTAGTTACCCAGTGTTAAATCTGAGAATATATTTTACTGGAAAATTTCTCTGGTGAGATTTTTCCTCTTTTTAGAGATCCTCCTGATAATTGGCACAGCATCATTATAGCTCAGTGGGATTTCAATGTCCATTCTGTCTCATTGCAGGTGGGAAGGATGAGTGCGTATGCTGACATTTATGCATCGAAGCAGGGACAACAGGGTACCACAGAGGGGGGTTACCAGCGCTATGGAGTTCGCTCTTACCTGCATCAGTTTTATGAAGACTGCACAGCATCCATTTGGGAGTATGATGATGATTTTCAGATCCAGCGATCACCCAACAAGTGGAGCTCTGCATTCTGGAAGGTACAGCTACCACCTACCAATGGTCTTGCAGCAGACCTGTGGAGTGATGACTTCCAAAAGCATCACAACCCACCAGCACTGATAATTGACATGTTTTTAGCATTTCCATTATAACTTTGCTGTTTCCTTTATAGTTTATGACTACTTTGCTCTAAGTGCTATGTGGGATGGAAAGGTGGGAAGTATATTTAATAAACCAGTAAATACACAATGTATTTATTCTCAGCTGACACCCTCCTTGTATTCTGAAAGCAGAAAATGGGAAGGCTTTGATGTGCCACATTAGGCCAAATGGTAGATACAAGCTATGTAAATCTTTATTAAATTCACTGTCTTCTGAGGAGGTACAGGAGTCTAGAATTTCAGAATATAAAAAGACCAGATATTCAAAATAAATATTAGACCAAAATGTCCCAAATTTTGTCATTGGAATAGTCATAGAAGGAAAGCATAGCAGTCAAATTGGAAATGCAACTGTTTATAGAAGGGATACTTTTTTATTAAATCAAAAGCTGTCATATATACACAAACCAACTTATTTACTGTTCTTTGTGCTTATTGGATATGTCTCTAGTTGGTAGGGTGATAAGACCCTATTGATTTTCATGGTACTTAAGTATTGGTAACTATGCTGTTGTAGACATAGGTCAGCCTTCCCCAATCTCAAAACTCTCCAGATGTGATAGAATAGCAATTGCCAGAATTTCTATCCCACACTTTTCCACTGGAGAACAGATTCATCTGTCAACAGAATGAAAGCCTTAAGCAACTCGTTGCAAGTTTCACAGAAGTGACTATAAGTATCAGTGACACATCAGATATATTTAATGCCTAAGACTAAAGCCACAAAGCAAAAGCCATCAAAATAGCCTTGCTGATTTCTGAAATCTTTGTTTTCTAGGTTGGACTCATCTCGGGAACAATGTTTATGCTGACAGGGATCATAGTTCTAGTAGTGGGGTTTCTGGTACCCCCCAAAATTGAAGCCCTTGGAGTAGAAGATTTTGTGGTGGTGGATACCCATGCTGTTCAATTTAACAGAGCCCTTGATGTGTGTAAGTTGGCGGGAGCAATATTGTTTTGCATCGGAGGGACCACAATGGCAGCCTGCTTGCTTATGTCTGCATTTGCAAAAAGCTACTCCAAAGAAGAAAAATACCTGCAACAGAAATTTAAGGAGAGAATAGCAGATATAAAAGTCCAGACACATCCAGTCACAAAAGCCCCAGCACCTGGAGAATCCAAGATACCTGTTACGTTGTCCAAAGTTCAAAATATCCAGCCATTATCTGAAACCTGATTCTTGCTCCCTCTTTCCTAACACACCCTTCTTGTGATTTTGAAAAGGTGGTCTCGGCTAGCACTTGAATCTGCATTTGCAGTGCAGCAGTTCCGCACTCAGTAGGGAAAGGAGCAGGCAGGAAAAAATTATTTTGATAGGACTACAGAAGTGACGAGAAAGTGAAGTTCAGCCATTACTGGTTTCAATAAAGCATTAACATATGTGTTGTGAAGTTTTTTTTTTTAAAGTCCACAGAATCATTTAGATTCTCCCCTTCCAAAACATGGTTCATTCTTCTCCACCCATCCCTTCACTTTACATATTTTGTTCCTTTTAAATAATGAACATGTTTGTTTAGTGTGAACTGTTTAAATAGTGTTCTGTTCAAAAAGAACAGTTAGAGTCCCACAAAAGCTCTGTGTATGCATGTATTGGAGAACCATGCAGAAAGCAGACAATTTCTATTTCTACCAGACTTGTTTATTCCCCTGGAGTACAAGCAGAACAGCAGCTTGTCTCTTACACAAACAGAAAAGAAACCATCAGCTGCACACGATTCTCCTCTTTCATGCCCAAAGTGTTCTATCCATTCTGAATTTAAACTGGCCAACAAGAATGTGTTATTCAGAAGTGGGGCCCCAGGATCACATTAGCCCCAATACTTATTTCTTTGGCCTTCAAAAATCCCTCCTACTGCAATTGTGAATTTCAGCTTCCCGCTGTTTTGAGATGGGAACGCAATTTGCTTGTGTTTTGTATCTCAAGTAGGCTTAATACTGTTTTAAAAACATAGAAAAACCCACTTCCAAAAGCAGAAAATCAAAGTCCTGCCCTCTTGCATGATGCAGCCCACTCTTTGCTTCACCATGCAAATTCATTCCCAACCATTATTTTTATTTATATATATCAACAGTAGCAAATGATGGTGCAACTTTTAAGTCAAAATATATAGTATTCAAGGCCAGCCAATTTATCATATGCAGCTTGTCTTTTTAAAGAAATTCAATATTTTTAATCATCAAAAGGAAGACTGCATCAAACTGGTTTCTTCTGGGGTCATTCTCAATCCCTCAGTCCATATCTATCTATCTATCTATCTATCTATCTATCTGTCTGTCTGTCTGTCTGTCTGTCTATCTATCTATCTTTCCTTTTTAACTCTCCGTTTCTATTAAGATTCACCAAGGAGATTTTAAAAGGTGCCCCATGTTTAGAATGGAAAAGAATACAGGCATAATTAATTCACTTGCAGGTCTGGCCTTGGGCCCTTATGAAGGAAAAAAATGACCTGGGTGATTTTGCTAGACAGGGTGCACCGTTTGATTAGGAGAAGGTGAGGGCAATAAAATGCCCATCCTGGGCATTGGGATGTGTACATAGAGCTCTTACGGTGTACACAGGCAAATGGAAATCCCTCCTTTTAATTTCATGGTGGGAACAAATACATATATATATATATATATAT